CTTGGTTTGTCTTGTTTAGGGCTATCCGAGGAGATAGCACAGCAACTCTTGGAGCTGCTTTTCCAGAGCAGGACTCACAAATACCCCCAAATTGGGGGGAGAAGCTCATGTTATTACGTTTAAGGTTGCTGTATTGGCTATTGTGGGAATCGGGACGTGGCTGGCTTTGCTTTTTCAGCCTATTCAGCATTCTCACTCTTCCAATGTGCAAATCCTCCTATTAAAACATAAAGTGGATTGAGTTGTGGAGCACAGGGTTAATGTCATGTGCTTATAAAATGCTATTAGATGGCTAATGGCAGGATTTTATCCCTTGTCATCAGCTGGCTCTGGCACCTGATTGATGCCGATCAAATGCTGCTGTATAGGATGTCTTTCAGGGTGTTAATACAGCAACGTGCATCACAGCAGCACAACAAGAAACAGATTTGTGGAAAAGAAATATTGATTTGTAGCAAGGATCGATCCCAGTTCATAACTTTCCCCATGCCAGCGTGGCTCAATATCTCCTCATTAATTTTCTTTCTCTCCCTGTATGGATGTTTAACATTAAGACTGGATGTACAAAGGTTTTCCCTTCATAAATACACATGCGTTGGCTGGGCTGTTGTAAAAGGTTTAAAGACTGAGACGTGTGATAGAAAGGAGTAATCCTAAAGGAAAAGCCAGGCCTTTGGCTGCTCATCCCTCTGCGAGCTCATGTCCAAGCTTCAGTGCTGCCTGACCCATCTGCAGCATCAGCGCATCCTCAGGGATGTTGCCCTGTATCCCTGTGTGCAGTAAGGATGTCAGTGTTATACGTGGATTTTTGGCAGCTGGTGATGGGGTTTCCCTCTTCCTCAGGTTACCTCTTGAGATGTTGCAGGGAGGTAAATCCTATTCTGGCTTTAGCTTTGAAAGCACCAGCTTGGGACAGGCTTTTGCAGCCTCTTGCAGGGTGGCTGGTCCTCCCTCTCAGCTCAGGGCAGGCATTAACTTGGACTGGAAGATGCCAATCCCCGTGCTTGCTTTAAAGGGCAAAGTGTTCCTTTTTTACCTGGTGCAGCAGATCCCAGCATGGCTTTAGAGAAGGCTCCCAAAAGCCCACTCTATTCACGTTTAATAGGACAGTTACTGTAAGTTTATAGAAATGCCAGTTAAACATTAACAACATCTTTAGCAGGGATTAATAGGACTGCCCTTTAAACACTGTGAAGAGGGTGCTGGTAGCCCCCGCTTCTTCCAGTGCAAGGATTGAGGGCTGAGTGCCCCATGAGGATGCTTCTTGCATTCAGAAAACCGGCCTAAAACCAGCCCTGCCCAGGCAGTTTCTCCAGCTCAGCACCGGAATGCCTTTGGGGCCTGAGGGGTTCCAAATGGCTCCAGCCAAGTAAAGGCTCTCAAGCATTGTTTCTTAATTGGGCCACCATTAATGAAGGGATAAATGAGTCAGTGCCCTTTGTGTCTGCATTGAATGGGTGTAGACATTGAGGGCTCAGTAGTTAGTGAGGAAAAGCTCCCCCAGGCCCATTCACCTGACTGAAACCAAAGAAAACTCAGCACTTTCACCACTCTGAGCTCCTTGGGCAATAAGGAATAGCAGGATATGTGATAGAAGGAACGTTTTCATTCTGAAGGAATGAGCCTGAATGATGTTTCTGCTCATATTTGGCCATTTCCGATTCAATTTCGACTTGGGGTTAGAGATTGTCATCTCTCAGCTTCCTGGAAAGGAAGAAAGGGAATTAAAAGGGAAAATCTGGTTGCACAAACTGCCTTGCTATGACCTGCTCGAAAGGAGTTTCTTTAGTAATGAAACCTTTCGGTGTGGGCTGGTTAGTATTGGCTGTGTAGATGTTTGCAGGTGTACATGCACAGGGGGTGTGGGAGCCCTGCAAGCAGCTACAGGCACAAGAGATGCTGAGAAAGCTGCAGAAAGTGGTGTTTTACTTGATAAGGAACCTGAACTGTAGTTTTGCATCTGGTTATCAGCCTTCGGGACCACTCACATCTCTAGATTAGAAGCTTAGGCTTGGTTTTGCTCAAAAAGCCTGAGGTTGGGGCAGTGTTTGCCCCAAGGCTCCCAGGCTGTGCAGTCCTTTTGGTGTCCCTTAGCATCTGTGGGAAGCCAAATGCCATGGTTCTTCAGTAGGAGGGAGTTTTGGGGACTGATTTACTGCATCAAGACTCCCCTCCCCATCTCTCCCTGCTCTGATAGAGATGCTCTATCTCTATGCACAGGCTGTTGCTTCTTCCAACCCCATCCCTCTCTGTGGTGTCAGCATCCTTCCAGTTGCCGTCTCCCCAGGGAAAATCCTTTCCCTTCCTCCACGCATCCTGCTGCTGCTCCGTCCCTGGCTCGCTCTGCTTCTGCTGCCCTGTTTGTGGTCTCTGCCAGGAGAGGGGGGCCTTTAGCCTTGCTGGAACGAAGGAGACCGATACGGAGACGAGCATACAGCTAAAGCGTGCCTGTGCTTTGCTGCTTCTCATCTCCTGCCTGTTGCTCGCACTGAGAAAGAGCAAAAAGAATAAATACTTTTATCTAAGTGGGAAGAAAGGGAAGGAGCTGAAAGCAAGGAGCTGCATTCCGTGCTCGGGTTGGTGCTGCTTTGCAAGCGGCTGAGCTCGGCACTTCGGCTGCTGCGGTCAAAACCCAGCGAAGGAATAAAGACTCCCTCATCCCCAGAGGAGGCTACAAAGCTCTCTTTCTCTTGCTGCCGAACCTTCACAGCTGGACTCAGTTGCTGGCTCCTCTGCTGCTGGAGCAACTGAATTATTTAAAGGAACCTTGATTTGCTTTTCTCTTTGCTGTTTTCGTGCCTTGTGTTTATTGTCTATAGATATTTTTATAGTCTGAAGCAATTACAGCTGTCAGGAAAGAGACGAGCTGTGACAGCCTGATTTATATGTACATTGTATGTCTGGGAGAGAGGGGGGAGACAGAGCAAGGATTCTGCTGGGCTTTAGTATGCAGGAGCCAACGATCCTGGGTTTAAATTCCTTGGGGTTTAGCACACAGCCTCGCAAGCTCCCAACACTGGGCTGAAATCAGCCTTTCCAAGGGCTGAAGCCACTCATCAGGTCACATTCTGCCCCGACCTCGCATGCTTTCAGTGCAGGCAGGTGCTTGCTTGCATGGTTTAAGATGTTCCTTGCAATGATGGCCCAGAATGAAATGTTAACTGGCTCTGGTTGTTGGAATCCCATGGGTTTTGCTGACACAGGAGATGGTCCCTGCCCATCCTGGGTTGCAGCCTCACAGAGAGAACAGCCTCTTGAGTGGTGATGGCTTCTTGGTCCAGCAGCGAGGAGGTAGGATAGCAGGGTCCCCATCCTGCCGGGGTGCTTGGATGCTGCAGCATCACCAAAAGCAGTGTCTATGCAATGCCACAATCCTATGCAAGCCATTCCACCCCACCACTGATCTTGCTTTTTAAATTGAGGTTTCAGAGAGCCCTCCCATGTAATTTGTGAGCCCAAAGGAGCTGCTCGAGGCAGGGCCTTATCCTTCCCCTATCAGCCCAGCCAAAGTGAGCTGCAGAGATTGAACTCCTCCTGCCATGAGATGGGAAAGCTGCTGTGCCCTCTGGGGAAACCAGTACTAAATTCAAGGAGCAGAAAGCCTTCAGACAAGGGAGAAGCAGAGACTTGCAAAGCAACCCCCTTCTCCTATGACCTATCAGCACGCACAGTAGTAATAAAGCTTTATTTGACTGAGTGTTTCCTCGGCCCGGCGCAGCTCATAATGTTGTAGAGATTAAATAGCACAGTTAGTGAATTAAGCAGTAGTTTACAGGGAATTCGGAGGCTCCAGGGATTAGTAACGGGCTATGGATCCTTTCACATCTAGGTCACCACTTGGAACCCTGCTCAGGTTGGCAGCGAGTTGTAAAACGAGGAATAATTGGTGCAGTGTAATAGCTGCCGAGTGCACGGTGGGGAGGACTTTGGATATGGTCCCGTGTTGCAGGGAAGTCATTGGGAACAGTGGATGAAAGAGGAGGACTTCTGGTTTCCCTTAACGTGGGGCTCGGGGGGGGGGGGGGCGGGATTCCACGAGTGCAGCACCCCGAAAGCCACCACTTACCTCCTGGCTCTGTGTTTGCTTTGGGACTTAGTGCTCTGTGGGTGGCTCCCAGGCACCTTTTTCCAGCCGGAAACTCTGCCTGGCAATATTAATGGGTTTTAGCCACTAGCGGAGGGAAGGAGGAACTACCAGGCATAAGCAAATGTGCTGTTTGTTAAATTACGAGCCGATAAAAAGTACGCGGGGACCGTGCTTGTGGCTGGGGAGGAATTTGCCACTTAAGCTCATGCTGTGTGTTTGGGAGGTGCAGAGAACCAGGAGGGCATCTCCTGCCCGACTTTAAGGGGGAGGAATGGACCCGTGCCTCAGTTTCCCCTCCTGCATAGGGCGGGGATGGTGCAGAGGTAGAGGAGGGCAATGTTAGAGGTGCTGGGTGCAGGTAAGAGTGAAGGGAAGGGGGGAAAGGGGTCCCTGTGCAGCTCGGTGCGGCGGGGGTTAAAGGCTGGCGGGTGAAGCGCGCTCCGCCCGCCTCGCTGTGTGTGTGTGTGTGTGTGTGTGTGTGTGTGTGTGTGTGTGTGTGTGTTCGTGCGGGTGTTACCGGGGTGTGCGGGAGCCCGATCGCCGGTCAGGGATGGAGCCGCTGCCATGACAACGGCGGGCAGTCCGCCTGCGCGCCCGGGGATGCTGCCGCCCGCCCGGGCCGGGATGCTGCTGCTGCTGCCGCCGCCGCGGCCCCGCCGCTGAGGACACGCTGGGGGCTCCGCCGTCCTGACACCCCTTATCCTGCACCCGACGTGTCCTGTGTCCTGCATCCTGCATTTGCATCCCGCCTGGACCAGCGCACCTTTGGGACCCGACGGCGGGGCTAGGGGAGAGGAACTGCCGGGCTGCCTTTGCCCGCTTGTGCCTTCTTGCGTCTGGACCCGTTGGCTCGCTCGCTCCGGGCGTGTTTTGGTGTTTTTTGGGGGGTTTTCGCTGTTTTTTCCCCCCCCTTGGACTGCCTCCGCTCCGCGCTGCGGGCTCGGGATAAGAGTGCGCGAGCGGGGCGCAGCCGGGCGGCTCCCGCCCGTGCTTCCTCCTCATCCAAGTGAGCCGCGGACTGCTTCCCGGGAAGAGCCGGCTCGCCCAGCGTCCAGCACCTTTGCCACTTCTCCTCCTCCTCTTCCTCCTCCCCTCCGGCCCTCCCGTCCTCCTCCCTCACCCAAGGATACTGGGGACTCCCTCCGGATGCCGCTCGGCAGGCTCAGCGCTCGCATCCTGCCTTGCCGGGGGCTCTCCTGATCTCCGTGGAGCTCCTCATCGCTCGGCCCCGGTGGTTTTGCTCCCCTCCTTCCCCACACACACGCACCCCATCCCTCCTCTCTCCCCCCCTTCATCCCCTTCTCTTTTCGCTCCCGGTGGCCTGGTCGGGTGTGTTTTTTGCCTGTTGGAAAAGTCCCTGCTGCCCAGGATGGGGGTCGGTGGGTGCTTAGCCCTGCCCTGGAGGTGCCTAGTCGTCCTCTGTCTCAGGCTGCTCTTCCTTGTGCCCGCAGGAGTGCCCGTGCGCAGCGGAGATGCCACCTTCCCCAAAGCCATGGACAACGTGACAGTGCGGCAAGGGGAGAGCGCCACGCTCAGGTAGGAGCACCTGCATTGATGCCTTGGGGGGGCTGGAGTGGGGGGGACTCGTGAACTGGGAAGGCAACCTGTGCCTTCGGGAATGTGACTCAGTTTCCCCATGGGGGAGCGCGTTGTTGGTGCTGCAGCAAGCGAGAAGGAGCTTTGGATGCCAAGGGATGGGGTTTGGCTTAGCCCCCCCCTGCTCTGAGTTGTCTCTGGAAAGTTACTGGGGATGAAAACAAGGGAGTATGATTCCTCCTTGGTCTCCTGCTGCCTGTAGGCATGGCTTGGGCACTTTGGCTGCGTTCGGTGGGGGTAAACACCCCTCTGCTCCTTCGCGTGTGTCAAAGCAACCCAGTCAATGGAAAGCAGTTGTTGTTGAACCCCCCCCCGCAGTGGGATTTTATCCAGACCTGGTGCGATGAGGGAGTGCAGGATGGTGCTCCTGATTCCACGGGTTGCTGCTCCCTGTCAGGATTAACTCTTTGTGATAAAGGGAAATGTGGGGCTGAGCGTTGCGCCGGGGTCCTGTTGCCTGCAGCGGCAATTTGAGGGGTGCCAAGGAAACTGTGATTTTAAATCAGCCTAACTTCTGCGGTGTCTTCTACCCGGATCCCCATCCCTGTCCTCGCAGCAGATGGGCGCAGTCATCCCAGAGGATGTTTGATAGGGATATTAAAAAGGCAAAGGCAGGTTGTAATTGCAGCGCTGGGAAAGCGGCGCTTGCGGCTCCAGCACGCTCGGGAGCGAGTGACTTTGCTCCGTGCGTTGCATTGGTGACACCAACATCTGCGGGGCCAGCTGGGTGTGAGCAGTGAAAGCCGCACTCCGGCTTGATGCCAGCGAGTGGAAGAATTCCAGACAGGTCTGGTTTGGAATAGTGGGAAGCCTTAAACTCAGCTCTCGGCTGCCGAACCTCTTCTCCCTTCCCAAGCCCTTTGCGTGTTCCCGGGAAGGAATGAGCTGTGTTATGGCCATTCCTCTGGTTTTGTCTTGTGTCGTGTTTGGGTGAAGAGGCTGGAAAATGGGTGGCAAAGGTTGGAGGATGAAGTGTCTCACTAATTTACATAACTGAGCTTGGCTTAAGTACTAAGCGGCTCCTTTCCTTGCTTGAAGTGTAAAGCTCTCCCAAGCACCAAAAATCCTACAGATATTGCCATGGGGGTATTAAAAAGGGAGGATTTGGGGGATATTTAGGGTCTGGGCAGCAAAACACATAGGGAGATGGGAGCAGCAGGGTGGTATGAACACGGGTGCTGTGCAAACTTACTGGAAAGAAGCGAATTGCTCTGGTAGTGGGGTTCGGCAAAGGGCTTCCAGCACACATCATCCTGGTGCTCACCCAGTATAGGCTCTGGGTGCTCACCTGGTGCTGATGGGAGAACAAAGACAAGCTGGGGTGAGTCAGCAGGAGGGATGTTCTTCTGTTGGAGAGGCCTGGTGGGAAGAGGGACAAATCCTGTGCCGGGGAGGGAAGGCTTGTCATCACCCTAAAGCTTTCCTATGCGCATCCCAGTGCGGCTGGGATGGTGGCAAGGAACGCCTGCGTCCCTATGCAGGCGTCTCGTCATTCCGAGTGCGCCTCAGGATGTGGGCTTTGGGGTGCGCAGTCTGTGCGGATGATATTCCTGCTGTCCTGCCCCTAGAGCAGGCAATCAGTGCCTTGCTGCTCCTGCCAACTTGGAGCACTGGTTTAGTAGATGGGAGACTGTGTTTTGCACTGGTGTTTTAAGGTGGTTTCATTCTGGTTTGAGATGGGAGGGGTTAGTGTGGCAGGTGATGGTCCCTTGCTGCATCCCTTGGTCGGTCCTGATCCCTGCAGCCGTGCTGCGTTGTGGCAGGAGCCAAAAGCACAGGAAAACCACACATTTCCAGAGGAGGAAATTAAGGAAGCGTGAATCTCCCCCTCCCAGCCCAGCGTATCCATCGATCTGTGGTGTGGAGTTAACTTGTTTGGAATAGCAATGCTGCTCACAAAGGATTCAGTGGCTCCACCACTGCTTTTGGTCCTCTCCCCAGCCCTGTAACAATGGCAGACAGAGAAGGGTGCATGGGAGGGGGTTAAAAAGTAGGATTTCCTCTTTTTCCACTCATTTCCATGCGAGGTGGGAGGACAGGGAGTCGCAGCCAAGGATTTGGAAGGGAAGAGATGTTTCTAGAGGTCCCTTTTTAGGTTTTCAGAGCCAACAACAGGGAAAGCAAGCTGAAAACTCAGCAGCAGAAGTTATTGCTTCTCTGAAGTGCTCAGGAGCCCTTTCCCCATCGAGGGAGGGGTTTTGGCTATAGGAGATAGGTTATTATATATGGGGTGGTGCGGCATGGAGGACCCTGAGCTTGCCATGCTAAGGGGGTTCCTTTCAGCTCCATCCTCGCCACCTCTCCAAGCAGAGCTAACTCAGCACGTAAAAGAGATGTTGGATTGAAGGCTGTGAGGAGACTTTCCCATTATAGGGTGCAGGCTTTGCTCCATGCAAACCCAGTTGCCATAAATCCACCATTAGGAGTCAGTTTAGGACCAGAGTCATTAGAGATGTTCAAGTATTTCCTTCCATCTTGCCATGTCTGTTAGAGGGGATATTATATGCCTTGCTTCAGCACCAGCACTTTAGATGGGTGTGTTAAATCCAGGTTTAGACCCTGGGACAGAGCTACCTGCTGGGATAGGAGGGGCAGGATTTATTCCTGGATGCAGCAAAACCTGCAGGAATAGGAAGAGGGTTTGTGGGTCCAAGAGCTTGGTGCTTTTACTGATGGATGTGAAGGTCCTTGAGCTGGGGCTGCTCTATGTGGGGTTACATCAAGAGCTTGTGCATGTGCAAAGGTCAGAGGTGGTTGTCTTGGTCAGAGGTGGTTGTCTCGCTGGATCTCATAAGGCCACATCATGAGGATGAGGCCATTTGTGTCCCTTCCCACCGTGTTCAGCATCTGCCCTTACCAGTAGCAAGCGGCTCACACTGGAGAAATCCTATCGTGAGCATTCATCCAGTGCTTGAGCTGAGTCCAGGCGCTGCTGAGACCTCTGGGGCAGTCCTCTCAGCACCAAAAGAAGCAGCTTGATTATGATGCCGCTTTAATTGGCATCACTCAGCGCTTCCCACAGCGATGCTCTGATGATCCCATCAGCATGTTGCGTGATAGCCCCCAAATCCAGTGGTGCCCCAGGCAGATGGAGAGTGGATCTGGCTGTAGGGTGAGAGCTGTTTCTTTCTCAAGCTCCTCTGTTCATCCCTTCTGCTTGTCTTGATAGAGTGATGTGATGCCTTTATTTGTGCCCCCTTTGATTCTAGCTCTACAAGTCAAATCTGAGTTTTACATGAGTCCAAGCTGGTTTTCTTTTAACCCTGATGTTGCCCATGGTTTCCACTCAGGCTTTTGAAAGGCATTTTGCCACTGAGACCTGCCATGCTTTACCTCAACCTCTTTTGCCAATTGGTTTTGCCCCTGCTGTGCTCTTGGTGTAATTTAGGAGAAATGATAAGTTGGCCATGAAACAAACCAAAAATAAAGTGTGTGTTTGATGAATGCAAGCAAAATGCACTTGTTTGTGAAGCAGAAAAGAATATTTCTCAGCAATAGGTCTGTTTTCTGTGACTTTTGCCTGCACCTTTATCCATGGGAATTTGCCTTTTCATGTTCTTAATCTGAAGAACGGGGTTGGTTTCTGATGGCTAACAGTGTGATGCTCCTTTTGCTTGGGGCCTGGCAGAGGCTGCATATCCCCCTCCATGGCCAGGACTGCTCCTGCCAGGGCTTGAGCCATGCTGAGTCTCCACTGAGGTTTTGGGCAGCTGCATTTGCAGTTGGTGAGAGGAAACAGAAGGCAGAAGGACCTGCTCCAGGCTTTCTGTCCCTGAGGAAGTGGTGTTTGCCATCCTTGCAGCCTCAAGGCTGAATGGCGGGGTGTGTGGGGGGCTGACTGGCAGAGATGAAGGTTCTGGTTGCTTCCTTGCTCTCTTCCCAAGCCTGGACTAAAGGAATATAGCTTGGCTGTGGAGGCCAAGGTGCAATTACTTTGCTTTTCTCTGTAACTGAGCAGTGAAGGACTTTTGAGCTCTTGGCCTTGATGGGGAGCAGCCCTCAACAACCCTGCAGGCATGGGGTGAGGATGGAGCTAAGCTGCACTCATATTAACAACCTAAGTTTGTTCTCCTTACTCCTTCAGTATCCAGCATGCTTGCCTTCTCCTTTTGTTCCTGAGGGTTAGGGAATAAATTCAGGGCTGGGGTGACCCTTCCTATATAAAGGTGAAGAAGAGGCAGAGTGTGTTCTGCATCTATGCCTTTACTCAGGAAAAGCATTCAAGGCCAGGTTGGATGGGGCTTGGAGCAACCTGCTCTAGTGGAAGGTGTCCCTGCCCGTGGAACTGGATGAGCCTTAAGGTCCCTTCCAACCCAAACCAGACTGGGATGCTATAAATCAGTGCAAGTGTGAGCAGGACTGAGAGTTAGGACTTTACCTCTGCCTCTCTCTTCCTCCCATCATTGCTGGGTCCTCCTTTCTGGCCAGGCTTTTCTTTCCACATCCCTGAAGCTGATGAGAAGCCCCGAGCAGTGCCCATGTGTGCTGCTGTGGGCTGTTTGTCGCTTTGCTTGCGATGGCATGTTTCAGAAAGAGCAGTTTATTGCTCAAGTGACATGTCAGCAAATCTCCGCCACCTCTCTCCCATCTCGGAGATGGAATCAGCTTAAAGTGGGGGAAAAAATTGTCATATGCATGGATTATGTTTTATTTCTTCTTTTTTTTTTCTTTTTTTTTTTTCCTTTTTCCCCTAGTGCAATTTCCATCTGAGATGAGACAAGCTCCTGATTGCTGCGCCAGAGGAGGGTTTCCCTTTATAGCTCTCCTGGTAGAGCTGCTGCCTCTAGTTCACTGGAGCTGTCTGGGCTGGTGTCTCCTAGGGGAGTGTCATCTCCATCATAGGGTTAATCCTCTCCAGTCTACCAGCTCTGGAAAGACTTAAGTCATACACACTTGTACCCTGCCCCTTTGGGATGGGAAGAGCTTGGGGGAGAAGAAGG